GTCTATATTTACAAATTTCAAGCTTGTGCATAGATAGATGCATACTCCTCCTCTTTCATACAAGGTTCTACAATAGTTTGCTCCAGTTTATAAGAATATATGTTTAACTGTTGCAATTCCAAGAAATTCATGTGATGTTCTGTAAAACAAAATATGTGGGGGGAGGCTGGGTGTAGATGACTTAATAGCTCATTTGCTTTCCCCCTTAAACCTCTAATGCTCTGATGGCAAATATTAAAGAATTTGATATCATTTTCTTTTTGGTTACTCCGTTTAAGGAAATATTTCTTTTTGGGGAACTTGTATTTACCATGAAAATTCCTTATTTTTCATACCTGGTAGTTTTTCAGTCCATTTGATTTGCGTACTGGTTCATTTATTTTTGCTCTGTCATTTTTACTGAGTCATTCATAGCTGGAAACTTGTTAGCTTGTAGATTTGTATTATAATTTTCAGATTCCTTCCAGAGCAAGCAAATTGGGGTCAAATTTGTATTAGATTGAGAAACTGTCACACAGGTTGCTGCTATATGTTTAAGTATATCTTCTTTTCCTCTCCTGTTCAGATGCACACCTTGTCATGTAAAGAAGTGTCTGTTTAAGTCACAGTTCATTACTGTGACATGTTCATGACATTTCATGATTTTAAACAGTTTCCTATCAAAGGCATTTATTTCATTATTTATGCAAGACCAATCTGCCAGGTCGTATCTATGTGGTATACCTAACAGAATAATATTAGTATGAGTATTATTACTTACAAAGTTTAAAATGTGTCTTAGTCCCATTTTAGAATTATTTTTGGAGATATCGTTTGCACCTCTACTAAATACAAGATCCTCATTTTATCCTAAGGTTAAAATAGTATCTTTTACAGAATTACTTAGGGTAAATAAATCAGCTCCTGGTTTTATAATTCCAATTACCTTATAAGTTTTATCAAGATTTTCTCTCAATTTACTTGCACATCTCCTTACATGGCTGTCTCCAATAATTAACATAGTGTGGTTTCCTTTGTTCTTTGAAGCACTTGCTGCTGAATCAGCAACTTTTTCCTTGGGAGCCTCTTTCTCATTCCTTGCATTAGCCTCAACGGTTTCCTCACTGTCATATAAATGTAAGATGTCACTGTTCAGAACTTTATTGTTATTACATGTTACTAGACCATTTATTATCACTGAAATGTTATTAATCATCTGTCCTTCTGCATCAGCCTTGTATTTACTGTCTCTTGCTTGAAAATTACTTTTGTCGATACTATTTCGTACCGTTTTACTTGGTTTGAGAATTTCTTCCTTTGTTGCTTCAGTAGACTTAATAACCTCATTGAGGTTAGATAAATTTCAAAATGATTACTTGTTGTTACATATGTTTCCTCATGGTCTTTTAACTTATCTGTTCTCTTCTTTTGTTGATTTCTTTGTATTTGGATTCAGTTTTTTTTTCACTTGGAGATATTTGAGAACCATTTCCATCATTTTGTATGACACTTCTATTAGCACTAGACAAAGCGTCCACAATGCCCAGCTCTTCCTTCAAAATTTCTGTAATTTTTAGGGCAGATTCCAATTCCATTGCAATCTTACTCACTTCCAACTTTAATCCTACACAACATTGACATTGTAATTCCAAGCGTTTCATTATTTCCGTATTAATAAATTCACACATTTATGACCAATTACCTTTCCTTCTTTCTTTGATGTCAGTACGGCCTTTATAAAATGCAGTTATTTAGATCAGATTATTAGCGAGGATCAAATATTGGTTCTAGAAGAACTGGAAACAAAATGGAACAAAAGTATTCAAGCACAACAACAAATGTCAAGGACAATCATCTCATAAAATGAAAATGCTGATCTTCCTCAGAACCTGATTCATGCATCAGATCCATCATTAAAAAAAAGTGTTAACACTCTGCTCAACAATTAATAAAATATGGCTACAAACCACTCAAAAGACTGTGCAAGCCATGGAGAAATGATGAGAATCAACACGAACTTCCATACTGCAAAATTATTTGCAGAGAAAGTAATTCAAACAGTGAAGCTTCATTACTTACGGTTCACTGTAACCAAGCTCATACTTACCAATACAGAGAAGTGTTCAACACAAAATGTGTACCTACTTTTAAACTCTCCTACAACACCAAATTTCATGAACCAAATACAAACTAATCTATACTGTGAAGTGTTGTTTCATAAATACCTGTAATAGTATTAATCTTTTCTTCTAACAAATAATGAATCATTTAAACCTACATAACATTTCTGGGACGTCTTTCCCTCTCTCTCCAACATATGATCCCACAATGGCATACTTCAAATTCTCAATTTCTAACACGAATATAAGAGTGTTCATTATGAAAAAGTTAAATAGTTCCATCCAGTGTGACTAGTTAAGATTTTCTTATTTCAATTATTCATGCCCTTACATGTTTCGGTCTTCAGCGACCATCTTCAGATGGACACGTTTACATCAATATTGTTAGAAGCCACCATTACAGTACATGTTCTAAAAGTTAAAATATATACATACAATATAAATAATATACAATTGGTTGTAAACTCTAAAGTCTTTACAACTACAGTGGTTGTTCCAATACATTAAAATATTTTTAGATAGTTTGTTAATATTCTAGTGGAATCGTAAACCAAGCTGGTTTGTGTCATCCCTCTTATTATTTCTTTTGACGGGGGCCGAATGTATGCTACCTTGTCGTTCTCGAGAAGATGGTTCTTTAATGTTGTCCTGTATCTGTTTGTGGCCCGCTGTGTTGTTTTTACGGAACTATTTTAACTTTTTCATAATATTAGTGTGACGGACCAGAATGAAACAAATCAAAAAAGTATTCCTTATTTTACACATAAAATCAACATTTATATCTTTGTCATCACATTATATATGTTTCATTCCACAGCATACTGTGAGTCTGTTAATTCTTTCGGTCATAATGACGGGCTTACGTTTACAACCACCTCGGAGCTCAAGCACAGACACGTTCATGCATACCACAACTGCAGAACTGCAGCTGCACTTCTAATAAGTGTCTATATCGTCTATATGATTCAAATTTATATATTCACGAAGATGTATGATGAGCAATATTTGTGAAATACCCTGATCTCCTGCTTACAGAACAAATTCATATAAAAAATCACAGTATGTACATTAAGCTGTTAAATTACAAACATCACACTATCTCAACGTACGTAAATATTAACGAATATTAGTAATTAATTAAAATCCTGTAACCTCCAGTCAACTTAACATAACCAAACTCGACCCCCGCCTCTTCACTCATGGCTTACAATTCCTCCACAGATAACACCACAGATCAGGGGGCGGTAACTCAATGCTATTAGCGGGTTACAGAGCCACCGTTACGTCATGTAGCATCACTGCTGTCCCAATCTAGCGGACACTTTATTTTTAGAAAATAGCTGCCGCTAGCGCCGAGAGCTCGGTCGGTAAGAGGGTATGCTATCTTACCACCTGCCCTGTCGGTAAGAAAGTATGCTATCATACCAACAGCCTTTGTGTACTGCTCCCTCCCAAAGAATCACTGGTTCACACGAATAGCTAGAAATAATAATTGATGTAAATGAAATGTTCATATTTTACAGGCACTGGTCAGAAACTTTCTCCCGATAAATAATGTTGCAACTGCAGGGCTCTTCTTCTGCAGAGGTTCTTATTCTATTGTGTTTTTTTATTTTTGAACCGAGTTTAGTATCACTTCACTCAAAACCATCTGGAGGGAATGAGTTAAATGATATCAAACTCAGTTCAAAAACTGAAAACACACAATGGAATAACAACATCTGCAGTACAAGATATCAGGTTGAAACATTATTTATCGGGAGAAAGTTTCTCACCAGTGCCTGTAAAATAAGAACATTTCATTTACATCAATTCAGCACCCCCTTACTGAAATGCAATGGATATTTGAACTATAACATATATAGAATACTTGTGTTTATGAAAGCTGATGGTGGGTAAACTTGAAAGAAAATTCTGTTTCCATCAGAGATACCTGCATTCAACTTCATAACTTTGATTACAACTTATACTTGAAAGCTACACAAAACATAGCTTTTCAGTTACATTAATGTGTTACAAATCATGTATAGGGGGTGATAATACTGAGGTTTCCATTTGTTATTAATTTCAGTAGTATAATGAAACTCGACAATCTGATACACACTCTTGTTAACAAGATTAAGATTGCATTTAATAATATATGAAAAGCAATAAAATAATTGCAGAACTCTGACAAACCTCATGATCTGAAACATGTTCATGTTTCCAAATTCAATACTAAACATAATAATGTGGTCAAAATAATAAATTAACTGAACAAATAAAATGAACCTTGAAAGTCTGATATATATGTACAGGGTGTTTCACGACTTTAGGGCATAACTGCAGGAGGTGATTTCCTAGGTTTTTTTTGATCAAAGAAGTTCATATAAACATGTGTCCGATTTTGGACGGTTACGGAGTTATGACCGTTTAAAACTCAGAACAGAAGGTAAGGATTACTGACAATAAACTGAACAAAATAATAAACCAGCATAATACATGATACATTTAAAGTATGAATGCAAAGTTAACTTCCTGAAATTACCTTTAATTTTAATTTATTGGTGCTTAAAGCCGATTTTAAAAAATGTCACCGCCGGCTGCAACACAGGCTGCTGCTTGGTTGTGAACCGCGCCGGAGGTAGCTCTCAAGTGTCGAGATAACGTGNCATGACTGGCGAGCGATGACATAACGTGCTGACTGCGCGTTCTGATATGAGCCAACTACATAAGCACGGCTAGGGAGTATCATCGCACTCAAGGACAAACATAGATAAGGGCTCTCAGCTGAGAGGTACAGCGAGGTACAGTGCTTGAACCTGCCAGAAGACCACACTTTTCTTGGGCCATTATCTCTGTAACCGTTCAACTTTGGACATAGGTGTTTTGGGTTATATCGGCATACTTTAACATAAGGAACACCCTCCCGAAGTTTGGCACATTCCTCCTGGGACATCCTGTATATATGTTCACAAGTTCAATGCTGAACACAGTAATGTGGCCAAAATAATTTAGTGACTGAAGGGATATACCCATAATAACAAATTAGATGAATAAAATATGTAAACACTAATAAGTAAACTTCCTACCTACGAAGTAGTTAATAAACTTAATTACAAAACACACAGTGAATCCTGACATTGATTTTGCTCCTTGGTGTTTCATGCTGAATCAGGTAACCTGAAGATTGCAAGTCAATTATAAAGTAATGCCACTTCATTCTTACCCACATATAAACAAGAACCATTTGAGTCAGAAAAGAATTTCCCACACAATTCTTGATTGAAATATAATTATTTTCAGATACAGGGCAGAATGAACTCTGACCATCTTCTGACAATGATGTTCTAATATAGTGCGAAGAAGGAAACAGGTCTCCAAAGCAAGGAAGAGATGGATTCAAGATCAGAATAGGTTTCTTGTATGTAATATGACTAGAGGTGACAATGTTATCAACAAATTACTCCATACAACAGCATGTGAAGGCATGGTAGTTGCTTGTCGCCAGGGTTACTTTCTCCAACTTATGAAACATCTATTGATGCTCATGTGATCAATTGGAATATATTATTCCAGTAATTCAATAACTCCTCTCTGCCGATTTCCAGGGCTGGTATGGGCAGGATACTACAAGGCAAAAATGAAGAAGCATTACTTTCTTAATGACTTACTTATGTGTCAGTAGCTTAATCTTCCACTTTGTGGCCCTCTGCCTATCTGCTTTGGTCATCGTCATCAACCTGTTTGTTCGCTTACACCACCAAGGAATGTAAATTCTTGTGAGATATCTCACAATACCATCTATTATTTGTTGGTAGTGAAGTGAACAACCGGTACACCTAATCCACGCCAAGTCAATGGTGCTCTTAATGGCAGCTGTGATATGCTGCAATATGAATTGAATTGCCTGCCATCATAGATTTCATTAGAGTTACAGCATACCAACAGTCTCCACACCAACGTCTCAGAATGACAGGTGAGAGACTGTACTGTATCACTGCACTCCGTGAAATATATGAAGGCATAGGCTGATAGCAGCACTTCAGATGTCACGCACGTCTTGCATGCATCACAGCTGACACCACGAAGCACGTGTCTGGCAACGGAACCACTGACATAGGCTACTGAGAACACTTCCATGTCACCAGCATGAACTGCAGCAACCATGTCCTTCTGTACTTGCTGAGTAACATGGAAACACAGGAACTTCATCAGGGTTACCTTGCCATGACCTGTGGACAGATTTAGTGAAGCCTCAGGTGCCCTGAACAATGACTGCAGGTTACCCACAACAGTAGCACCATCATACTCACAAACAGTTCCACACAGACCTATGATAGCAAGTGCACTGATGATGTTAGTCTTCAGGGCATCTACAAACTGTCCCGCAGTCGGATTATTGTTCAAACCAGACTACGAACGAATAGCTTCAAATGTGTTCATCAAATAGCTGTTGCCAGGTATTCACCACAACACCCCACTGAAAGAACATTAAAAAGGAAATTAGTGGGCTTCCTTACATGATGGACTTCGTCAGATTTGAAAATAAACACACTTTACTTGAAAGGGACTGCCATTATAAAGATTTTGTATATTTCATTAAATTATTCCTCATAGCAGTCATCACCACCTTATTCTCTTATAAATCATATTACTGATAATGTGATATGCTTTGCAAACATTTTTAAATACCCTAAATACATCTGACATATCCTATATAACTTTTGTATCGATAAGATTGTATTGTAGCATCCTATTGCACTCTTCCATTGTATTATAAATCTTATTTTACAGTCTTATGTGAAACTATTTATTAACTTTAAGTTTAAAATTTAAAACTTAAAAAGTTGCATATAAGACAGTAAACTAAGATTTATAATAAACTTGTATACTGATGTACGGTTTCATAAGTAATGAATGATGATGACAATGACATCTGTTTGATCACAACTGGGTTCTTGGGATAATTACTTCAAAAATTAGCTCTCATTATTCTCGCTAGCCACTTCTTCCATAACAGAACATAATTCATAGTATAGAGTGCAGTGGTCCTTACCAGTAGCCAGTACAGTGTTGTGGCTTGCTGCAATGATTGATATGCCTGAGTTCTCCATCAGCAGCATTTATTTTTACAGGGCTTAGAAGAAACGTGGTTTCTTTCACTGCAAAAGTTGGTGGCTGCTGTTGATAATGGTTGCACTGCAAACATTTTAAAGGAAGTGGAAGGACCATGTGCATGGACAGGAATATGTGTTACAGGGGATGGCACCAGTGTCTTGTTGTAAGTGGTGGGAAATACAACATGAGTACAGTCTTCATGAGGCAAGGGATTCAATGAAGGGACAGGTGATTGTGGGAGTGACTGTGAAACAGAATCTGAGCCACATGGAACTGCTACTCTATTCAGGTGTACCCTTTCAGCAGTAGTGAAATCACTTTCCTGGAAATGTTTGCTGCACAAATATTTATTGTGCACCATTCTAGCAGAATCAATAGTGCAGGATATTCCAACTTTTCCTGCCCATACCGCAGCCCTGTAAAAGTAGAACAAATAGTCTCAAAACCTAGAAATAATTCTTCAGTAAACATTACAAACTTGGTTCACTTCTAAATTTTTGGGTTATGTTGAATAAATTGAACACAGACATACACCAAACTTAATTTATTCATTGAATTAAGCAACACATAATGAAGTAATTACACCATGAATTAAAACAGACATACCGTGCTGGAACCCTTGGAAAGCTGAAGAATTTGATGCCTTGCTTGCTGTATGACAAGCACCCTGCAGCAGCACGTTTTCGTTTTCATGTTTATACTGCAAGAAGCAAGACAAAAATTATAACACCATCACGGCACGCTTGTAACTCCTTCACGTTCAACAGACAATCTATGGGATAAACCGAAAGTTGTAGAACATATCATAAAATAAATATCGTTTAGATGACAGTTCATGATAACCCCAAAAATTTTAGGCTTGAAAGAATTCTGTTTCTAATTTCATTTGTGGTAGTAAGCATAACATTCATATACACAAATAATATGTTTAATATGGAGCTGTAACTTCGTTCACAAATGTCTACTTTCGTTTTGCAACCACATCAAATAAAAATTCATACTTACCAATTTGCATATAATGAACCACTATAACCGCAAATAATTGCAGTAATTAAAATTGGTTTGTTTAGGCTCTCTGATTGGTCGAGATCTGTGTGAGGTACCTTCCGTCGTTCATAGGGGCAGCAGTTACCATGTTTCCCCTTCTCCTGTGAAGTTTCTACCACCTGCCTCTGACACAGACATCACCATGTGAGCAAATCTATTTGATAACTGGTGAAAATATCAGTCTGGGACATGGTATTTGAACAACTTTAAAATAAACAAAACACCACAATGATTAAATATATTACAGGAAACTACGAAATTGATGTAGTGAATATTGTGTGTGAAGGCAAACTTTACGTTTTTGTCTGGTAAGAAATTCTCCTCACATGGTGATTTGCTGTGATCCAAAACCAGACCTCTCTTCATCATGACCACAGTTAACTCACAACTGTTCTTGTTTATGCTGTAAACACATAAAATAAATATTAAATATTTATCACATGAAAATAAAAAGAAAATTCATTACTTAACTTCCTCACTAGAATTTTAATCCTACTGTAAACTGAATTGACTTCTCAAAATTAAAATCCACTCCCCATACACCTTCATGCCACAGTGCATAATTAGTTAAGCATAGGGACAACTTTATTTTTACTTTTTTTGATTGTGCATCATTATCATGCTTAACATGATTGAAGGATTATCACTGGGAACACTATAGTGGAGACCTTACTAATCACACAGGACACTTCTTCTGTAAGGTTATGTGTTGTGCACCACAAAAAGATATTTTACAGAGAATCTAGTACTATACAAGATGACTTGTGACTCATTCTATATCCTATGGCTTATATTATGCCTGTATGAGGATCAATTAGAAAGTGAAATAAATGGAATGGAATGAAAATAAAGACTGGTACACAGAATAACCAACAATGTTACAATTATATCATGGCCTTATACTTCAGACTTGAGGTCATATTCTCCTATGTAATAATTATAAGTAAAATATCCCTGTTGCATGTATTTATTTATGCAACTAGAGATATACATATATGTTTTGGCTGAGGATGTAGTTTCAACTATCAAGCTATCAAGGTACAACACTCGCAGCTAAAAAGGGAACACACATCACAAGACACGGTTTACACAGAATATAAGAAAAACGACCCCCATGGTAGAAGAACCACACGCAAGTTTTAATTGAGACACATAAGAAGAATAATCTTAACAAGTTTTAGTGTGTGTAAATTTATTATAGTTGGCGAATACGCACTTTTTAAATAATTTTATATAGACATATAATGGAAAGCAATGCAACAGGTTAGCGTAATTAGAGCACCTGATGCTGGCGCCATGTTGCCGAAACATGTTATGAAGTAACAGTTGAAATTGAGTGCACTGCAAGAGGGCCACTGTATGCATATTATGGATGAAGCTATCAAGGTAGTTAAAAATGTACAAATATTTCATTACCTTTGTTCAAAGGTCAAAATTAACTCTGTTTTTGTTCTTGCATTTTAATGGAACTCAGCATACGAGAGCTGTATCATTTTGAGCATCATTTATTTTGTAAGTTGCATAATTTTGGTGGTAAATTATTATGAGCTGAAGAAGTAGTTCCCAAGAGATCGATCACAGTGATCACCGTGATTGATATCCAAAATGGCGGTTCCATCAGTGGTTAATGCGGTTGACGCTGATGACACTCCAATTTTCATCAATAATAGTAGTGAAACAAGTGAAGTAACGAGTACTTGGTGTGATAAATTTAAAATACAATTGCAAAAGACCATAATAGAACTCAGATAAGCACAAAAAAATTATTGAACTGCTACAAGAAGAGATGAACTTAAACACGCCCATTCGGACCGTAAGTACAGACGCATGTTACTTGCATTACAACGAGAATTCAACACAGTTGGAACTCAGAAAAAGGGAACTGAGTTCATGTGTTAATGAACTTCATGAAACTCACCTGGAACATCTGGCGAACCTGACGTAGGTTTTTCATGGTTTTTCACAGTACCTCCAGGCAAATGCTGGCTGGAATTAGTATCCCTAATCAGGTGACGACCACGAAGACTTGAATACATTATTTTCTAATCATCAGCCATTTGATACCATATAGTTTCCGCCACGAAGTGAGTTGTGAAATCATGAAAAGAAATGTGGTGCAAGAGCAGTTTTGAATGTTATTAATAATTATAAACAACTTTCAGCGCCAGAAGAGGTACTGTCCAACATGAAGATTGAGCCTGATGACAGCGAACTGAAGCTGCAGGAAGCTGTTACAGAATCAATGAAGAATATAGAAAAGGTACATCACATCGGAAGATTTCCTTTTTAATCCTCACAAATGTTTGGCTGTTGTAGGGGACATTTCTCTTGATCAGTCAAGACCATCTTCCCCTCACCTGCCTGAGATAAGACAGGAACGGCCCTATGGATAGGTGGTGGGAGGTGATGAAATCGTCCCTAGCTACAGAATCCTGTGCCATGTTAGTTCCTACATAGTGTCTCCATATGTTCCAGTTATAAAATGTTGCGCAAAACTTTGTAGTAAAGTTCATTATGATGTTTCCTCTTTGGTTACTGTACAAAACCATTGTACTGTGGAGAAACTGTGTTCTGATTTAACCTGAGGGCTATTAAACTGTTTATCTCAGTCTGTTGTGGTGGGCCTCAAACCAGTATATCATATCATCACATTTAAGTCATCATCATCCTTTCTTACTCTGCTATGAACCAGAAGGTTGCCGGTTCAATTTCCAATGAGGTAATTGGATTTTTAAATTGACTGAATCCTTCCAGCTGTACTATGGGGTGGATTCAGCATCTAATAGAAATGAGTACCAGGGATCGTCCTGGGGGTAAAGGGTGACGGGAATGTAAGGTTGACAACCTCACCGCTGTACGTGAGCCGACTGCCAAGAAAATATGGAAGCCTCACTGTCTCACACCCCTATGGGCCTCCACGGCCTGTTGCAGGATGCTATCATCCTTTCTCATATTTTGGTTATTGAGACCTGTTATGGCCTCTTGTCAAATAGGTACCAGGAGCACTTTCCCCGGGTTGGGAGGGCATGGAGCTGGCCACTCACCTCCATCTAGTGTATAATTAATTAAGAATAGGGACAGAGTTGCATTTATGGATACTAAAAAACAGAATGCTGTATAGCTACATAATTTAACTCTTTGTGATTTGTGATGTTTGTAGGTGGTAGAGTCAGTGTTGGAGAGAAACACGGAAGGTGGTTTCATTGTGCTGCATGCTACCGTAGAATTCTGCCATGCGTTGGGTGACATTGCCACGTATGGTCTGGCTGGCAACAGGGATGAGGACGCTCAGGAACTACTTGTGAGTATAATGCAACCATTTGCAGATTTGGTAAGGGCACTTTGGTTTAGCATGTGTCAACACTGGATACAGTTCATTGCCCATCTACAGTTATTTACTGCAGCTGCAACATAATTAGAATATATTTTAATTACAGTTGAATTTCATGATAATGGATATATACGAATTAGTGAACTGAGTACAGAACTGGAAACATCCAATGAAAGGTCCTAGAAATGAAAGCACCCTATACAATAAGAATGTGATAGTTGAAATGGTAGAACCTTTTTCTTCTTCTTCTTCTTGACAAATGGTGTCTTCTGGAATAAAATGCATATATAAAGTACATAAGCATTTTCAAGGAATGGCAGTTGACCTACCAGGTGGAATATAGCCTGTTCAATGGTAGCACATTCTTGAGGGGAAAAAGAGTTCTCATAGTAATTGCCATTTTAAGAAAATAGTTCCAAGGAGGAAGCGGCTTTTCAGTGGAAACAGACAAGATTATGGGACCACTGTGTATATCATCCATGTGTGCCATCCTCACCTTAATGTGTAAACCAACTGGTGGATTTATGTTAAACTCTGAATTGTCATCGTGCCACTCACATGTTCTTTCAGTTGCATACCAGCAGCCATATAAACATGGCGACTGAGCTGGGAGCAACACTAGAGCCACTTAAATTGGGTCCTTAACAAGAAGGTCCTGGGGTAAGCTGTTATACCCATTCAGAAGGTTCTGAGTTTTATCCTTGGTCACATCTATGTACAGATTTCTTTGCTTACAGATGATGCCATGCCATCTACCAGAGTTAAAGCTTTGGGAATACAAAGGATACCCCCCTCCCATGTTAAAATGTAGGGTCCCTCTGCTGACCAGCACTATCATGATTACCCTATCATGGGGGGGTGAGATTATTGTCTCCACCTCAGATGCTTTCAGTAGAACATTTTGTTATATACGTGTTGTTTTGGCTTCCTTTTCTCCCATTCTGTATGTGACAGTTTGTAACTAGCCAACGTATTGTGGCATTTGAGTGTGTAAATACTTTGCACTTGATACAGTTTGTTGTGTAGGCATAGAATGTTGCAGAGCGGTTCATTTTGCAGATAGGTTGCATGAATTAAGAAGAAACATGCCTCAAAATTATTACTGTCCCATTATACTTTTATTAAAATATTTTGCGTTAATCATTTCAATCCCTGTGACTTTAAGGGGCTGTAGCATGCTCATATCTGGTTGTTGGCTGTATGATTAAGTTGTGTTGGAAAACAGAATGTTACATGTTTTTATAATTTCACAAAATAACAGATTGCACTAAACATGGATGTTACCCCTATTTTCTGGCTGGAACTTCAGGACGAAAGGATGTTATGCATTACCTGGAAACATGGTCACATTCTGTAAGATCCTAAAATACAGTTACTTTAATGTTGTCCCTCTTTCTAATTTCAGATACCTGTCTCATAAATTTCATGGAAAGGGACCTGGCAGAAATAAAATAGAGAAACGAATGAAGAAGAATGAGCAGGAAGGAGTGAGTATCATTCCAGACCTGGTCATGAGCTGTTATTTGTAACTAGTACTATATTGTAGCACCCTGCTTGAACACATATTTTTTATTTTGTTTCAAGTTGATGAAACAGATGACCTCAACACACCCCACTTGGAACGCTTTGGGTCTTGCAGCAGGAACAGAAAGAAACATGCTCCATTCTTGGTCCTTAGTGACAGTAAACAAATATGAGTATGCTTTTTGTCTGCCACTGATTCAATTCATTCAAAAGAACAGCCAGATCTAGCGAAAAAAAAAGTAATTCTATTCATTACCTGACAGACATGAGAACACAGATTACTAGATGAAACCAGTCAACTCAATTCAAAATTTGTCTTATCATGACATTACAAATAGCAGTAATTCATAGGTTTAACTTAAAGACTGAGTAGATGAGCCTCCATATGCTAATGTTGATAATGTCATTTAGTGATTGTACTGCCTCAAAGTAAATATTTGTTTTTCTCTGATCATGTCACTTGTTATAATTTCTCAACTGTAGACCGTAAAGTGTCATTTTAATAATGGATGATTGTTCAATAAGACTTTCCTGCTTGATATGCTTAAGTTTTACTAGGAATTTCTGTTTTTGATGCAGAATATGAAATTTAATTAAAAAAAAATCATCTGTGAGGTTTTTGTGAAATCTGCTAGTTTAACATGAGCATTACTACATTTTCTTTGTTTCTTCCTTTTTTCAGGGCAACCATCTCAAAAACAAAACTGCAGATTCTTCGTGAAATATGCTGGCACCAACTCTGAAATTTAGTGTGGACTTATATTTTTATTGTTTGTTACTGTCTGGAATATCATCTCTATTTTTAAGTAAGACACAGCTTGCAGCTGCTGATAGTGCCTGTATATACTGGAAGGAAGGCCACAGAGTTTATGTCACACTCAAATGAGTACAGAGGTTCTCCTGTGCCCGCTGTTGGCACCTGTAAGCAGAAAAGTACAATTTCTAGTGAGCAGTTGCTTGTTTATAGGACCTGAGCCAGATGAACCGCCTCTGAACTAAATCGGACATGAAGTAATTATATATGTGGCCTTTCTTGATTGCAATAGCAGTATTTGTACACCCCCATCCATGCTTCATTCAAGCATGTAAATTGGCCACTGAGCATTGTGACACGTATCCTTCCAAAAGATGAAAGAAACCCTGGTTCAGTGATAGGCCAGTATGAAAAGCTGTAAAATTATACAAGCAACAGAATCAGATGTACATTCTACTGCAAATCATTGTAAAGCACCACTGACATATTATTGAAACATTTATAATGGGTTATGAAAGTAACTTGGTTCATCCTGGCCCATCACACTAGTAGTTGCGTATAAGATTTTTAACCACCGTCCAGTCTGATTGATGAAAGTTTTTAATTTTCATCATTTACATGTTTCTGTCAAAACGACCATCTTCAGAAGGATATTATCAACACACATGGAAGCTACTGTTACCATGTCATATATATAAATTTTGTGTCTCTTTAACTAATATTAAGATGTATACAGGGTGTCCCTGGAGGAATGTGCCAGACTTCGGGAGGGTGTTCCTTATGTTAAAGTATGCCGATATAACCCAAAACACCTATGTCCAAAGTTGAACGGTTACGGAGATAATGGCCAGAGAAGTGTGAAACTTTGACAGGTGTTACAAACTTGTTGATTACCAAATACATATTAAAACTGGCAGGAATATGTGGTTTCTGTAATGTTAATAATGTATGTAACATCAGACTAACTTGTGAGTGACATGAAGTCATTAAATTGAACTACAAAAAAACTTGCACGCTATGTCATAGTTGTCGTTAGGGTTCCAAGCACTATACATGACACATAAATGGCAAGCACTGACGTAACATGGCTGACTGTGCATTCTGGTATGCGAATGTGTGTGGCTAGTGTGAAGCGTCATCACCACACTCAAGGACAAACATCGATAAGACTTGTTTGCTGACAGGTACAGTGCGTGGACATGCCTGAAGACCACACTTTTCTCGGGCCATTATCTCCGTAACTGTTCAACTTTGGACATAGGTGTTTTGGGTTATATCGACATACTTTAACTCAAGGAGCACCCTCCCAAAGTCTGGCACATTCCTCCTGGGACACTCTGTAATGATTTGTTAAAACATCTAAAAATTATTACCATTAGTCTCTTTACAAAATAATGTTCAATATTTGTTTTAATCTAGAACCAAATTGGTTGATGTTGTTACACTTCTGTAATAATGTTAGGTGTTTTAACAAATCAATGTACATCTTAGTATTAGTTAAAAGACATAACATTTATATCTATGACATGGTAACAGTAGTTTCCATATGTGTTGATAAAATCCTTCTGAGACATGTAAAGGATTAAAAATTAAAAACAGCTTTTATCAAAAACAGTGGATGGTTGTTAAACATCTTATAAAAAGAAGTAAAGCTATCCCAGTAAGAGGCCGTGAAGGCCCATAGGGTTCTGAGACATTGATGGTCCCATATTATCTAGACAATTGGCTCAAAGATGGTGGTAAGGTTGTCAGCCTTACGCGCCGGCCGCGTTTTACTCCCCAGGAAAATTATTTAATTAATTCCTGTTACTCATTTCTGTTAGAGGCTGAGGAATAGGTCAATTGAAAAAAATTCAATGACCTCATCGGAACTTGAACCCGCGACCTTCCGGCTTATAGTATAGCCCCTCAACCATCTACACTACTGTGTGTCTCCTTAAAAATCTTATATATGGTGATAAAAGTCCTATGTTTAAGCCACGTGCAGATGATCAAGAGTCTTCTGTAGCAAAGTGGATAATTTTCAGTCCAGTGTGACATACAAGTTTACAACACTTCAGTCTTTATTCACCTTACATGTTTCGATTCAAAAGAATCATCCTCAGAGGCGCACCACTATGATCAGGAAACTCTGTCACGTAAGATGTTTTAACAATATGCACATAAGCTATGCGTAATGCTCACTATATAATTTTCTTTTTTTGTTTTTATCACAGTTAGTTTTGATGTTTGGCTTAAGCATTCACAATGACGCTTCTTGAAGTGTAGATTTACATATGATGCTGTTTCTTTTAAGCATATTTGCTGGGTATTCTGATTGGGATTTCCCACTGCACGCGATGTGATGTTCACTTTTCCATACAGTAGCTTCGCTATGTATTTAAAATTGTATTAAAAATTTCTTTTGCATGTAAAAAATTAGTTATTATGTTAAAATATTGTGAGCCAACATTGGGTCATGTTGTTTTCCTCCTGATGGTGGAGGATGTTCTTATTGTTAGTTGATGACTAACAATAAGAACATACAATCAAGAGAAATAAACGACATCCTCCACCATCAGGAGGAAAACAACATGACCCAATGTTGGCTCACAATATTTTAACATAATAACTAATTTTTTACATGCAAAAGAAATTTTTAATACAATTTTAAATACATAGCGAAGCTACTGTATGGAAAAGTGAACATCACATCGCGTGCAGTGGGAAATCCCAATCAGAATACCCAGCAAATATG